ATTTTAACAGAAGATTCTGTTAAATAATAATAGTAATAATAATTAAAAAGGAAGAAATAATACTAATAGGAAAGCCCCATCCAGCTGTTCTGCACAATGAGGCTCTGGTTTATTTGTTAACAATGAAAATGTAACGAAAGTTAAATTAACAGAGTAAAATATGTAATGGTTGGGCTGTAACGGCTCTCACAGGGAAGAGCTTCTGCCTAAAAGCTCATCTCAGTCTCCCCCCCCCATCCTTTTCCTCCTGAGGATTCAGTAATTTGCTCGTGATCATATAAAAGCAATGATGTTATGAATTTACTGAAGATCCTGCTGGCAGGGATATTATAAGTGAATTGTGCTGCATTTGCAGCTGATTAAAATCGAGATCAGCAGTTTTCAAATTATCTTGGGAAAGGGCTGGGTGTACAGAGCCCCCCCCTTTTGCTGTCATCTCCCTTTTGTATGAAACACAAACAATCAGGGCAATCATCTCTGGGGTGAAATGCAGCCTGTAATTTGCAGGAGCAGCTCAATGGATGTTTTGCTGGGGAAACTGAGTCTCTAAGTGCTCTCCAAAGCCAGGACACGGGGGTTATTTTTGCCATTTCTTACCTATTTCCACTTCCCCTGTTTAGAGCAACCTCCCTTGAGTAATAAACTTTAAACTGTATTTCTTATTGACCAACATCTTTAAACAAATTGCAAACTACAGCAGAAACCCTAATAGATACACCAGGCTTTTGGAATGGCTGAATTTAGTGAGTATGCCATTAGGTGGGGAGGGAGAAGATGCCCTTTAGAGAGGTCCTCATCCTCTTGGCAATTAGCTCAAGTTGTGTCTGTGCTTCCACAACACCCCTCACAGCTCCTGTATGCTTGAAACAGTGGCAGAAGCACAAGGATGGGAGGGCTGGTGACCGAAATTCCCACTTTTATCCCCTCGAGAGCACAGGTTTCTCTCTTGGTAGCTGTGGAATGTGAACCAGGAGGAGGAGGCAAGTGAGGCTGAGCAGTGCTCATGGGTTTATTTGTCCTGTCTTAAGTGGTACAGGCTCAGAAACCTTTTAGACACCTCATTGTGCAGGTTGCAGCCTGATGGGTTTGCAGGTCAGGGACTGGTTCATGGGAAGGGTTGTGTCCCCGTGGGCACAGGCAGTACTACCAGGTTGTGCTGACCATGCGAGCACAGGGCGATGAAGGTGATGACCTTGGGTTCCTCAGCAGACCCAGCTGTAGATGTGAGATGGTTCGGTGAGAGTGTGTCAGCCTTGGGGTATGCCAGGATCCCACATTGGGCAGCCCACCCCTTTGCCCTCAGTGAGACACGGAATACATGGTTTGGGACACCACTGGGACCTTCTTCTGCTGCAAGTGTGAGCATGATGTGACTTCCAGAGTCCTTCCCTCTTCCAGGGTTTACCTTGGTTCTCTTTGGCAGAAATAGCTCTTCATTTCCCATCAACTAAACAACTACCCTGTAAAGTCCAGATGAGATCCCCAAATGTGAATGCTCCGGTTCCTGCTCAGCCCTAATTTCCTTACGTCCTTCTTCGTTCCTGTGCTGTAATCTTTGGTAATTCCCTGTGCCCAGGTGTCCAGTTCCTGGCTGCGTTGGGCTTGGACACATCAGTGGCAAATACGCCTCTCACCGGAGCGCCTCGGGGTGCCCCCTCGCAGCCCGCAGGCAGAAGGAAGGATCACTCAATGGCTCCTCCTTTTCCTGGAAGTCATTGAAGAATGAAGGCCCGACCTGCCCTACCCCAGGCTGTGACGGCTCCGGCCATGCCAATGGGAGCTTCCTCACTCACAGGAGGTAAATCAGAGGGTTGAAATCATTGTGAGCATCCCATTGCCGCAGACGAACCCATCTGTGTGCAGATGCTGCTTGAGCATCGTTCAGCTCTTCACACAAGGCTCAGTAGCTGGAGCTTTATGTGCTGATCTTGGGTTGCTCTGAGGTTGGAATTTTCTACTTAGAAGTAAATGTGTAATTGTTTTTATATTGCAATAATGATCACAGAATCTTAGAGTCACAGAGTGGTTTGTGTTGGAAGGCACCTTAAAGCTCATCCAGTTCCAACCCCCTGCCCCGGGCAGGGACACCTTCCACTAGAGCAGGTTGCTCCAAGCCCCTGTGTCCAACCTGGCCTTGAACACTGCCAGGGATGGGGCAGCCACAGCTTCTCTGGGCACCCTGTGCCAGCGCCTCAGCACCCTCACAGGGAAGAGCTTCTGCCCAAGAGCTCATCTCAATCTCCCCTCTGTCAGGTTAAAGCCATTCCCCCTTGTCCTGTCCCTACCAGCCCTTGTCCAAAGCCCCTCTCCAGGTTTCTTGTAGCCCCTTTAGGCACTGGAGCTGCTCTAAAGTCTCTCTGGATTGGGATGGATTCAGCAAAATAAAGCAAATTGATAACATAATGTCTTTTCATTAGCATGCCAGACAGGATTTGGGCACCCCAAGCAGAGGTTTGATACCCACTGACCAGACTCACCTCACTTTCCTGACCTGGCCAAGCCCCTCTTCTAGAAAACTGTATGCTTTTTAATCTTTGCTCAAGAAAATTTCTCTCACTTTATAAATGAGGAGTTTTGTGGCATTATTCATAAAGCAATTTTCTCTGTGCCATAAAAAGCTTTTACAAGAACTGTCTCACAGCATGAACTCCACCAAATGGTATGAGCTGTTGCTGGGAACATAAGCACCAATAAAATACCAAGAGTTCATGAAGCCTAATTTCACTTGCTTTTCAGTTTATCGGGGTGTCCAAGAGCTACTTTTGCTGGGAAGAAAGGAAAACTCTCAGGGGATGAAATTCTCAACACAAAGTTCAAGACCAGCGATGGTAAGGACTTGAACTCCTTCTGCCTTGTGGTGTGTCAGGGTATTGGGTCCATGAACCTTTCTTTGCAGGCTAGGGGGAGGATTCAACAGCTCAAATCTGGCTGCAAGTTTGTTAGGATGACTTGTGCCATGAACACCCATTTCTTGAGTGTTGGAGGGCAACGTGGTACCAGCACCGCTCTTGAGCAACACATTGTGAAACAATAAAGAAAGAGTTTCCATAGTGAAATTCCAGGCAAATAAAAGATGATGCTGAAATAGATATTTAGGTTTTTGTGGGGTTTTTAATCAAATATTCACTGGCATTTTTACAAATCCCTTGCAGTCATTCAGCAATTTCCACCTATTCAGGGCTTTTAATCCTGAGATATTTCTGGATGTGGAATTTTGTTAGCGACGGCACTTTGCGTTTCCAGTTCTATTACTGAGGTTTCTGTGGTATCTGACAAGGTTCAGGCATTATCTTGAATACTTCTATAGTTTGGAACCTATAAATACCTGCATTTTTCTATAAATACTTATTTTATGAACCTTGTGGTTTCTAGTACAGACGTGTTAGTCTTTTAAATGGCATCTCCCCAAACTCGAGCGACCTGAGTTTTCAGGGCAGCTGACCTTGCAGGGGATGTGCTGGACCTCAACTGCTACACTGTCATTTGCTTCTGCATTTACATATTGACCTATTAAAGCGTTACTGAACTTGTGATGATAAAAACCCTTACTACTAAATATATATAAAAGCAGGTGAGATGTGTGTCTTGTTTCGAGGATATAAAAGCAAAGGCTACTTTGTGAGTAGTGATGTTGCTGACTGCCCATAACCATCTCTCCTGCAGTTCTGGAGAATGATGAAGAGATCAAGCAGCTGAACAAGGAGATCAGTGAGCTGAACGAGTCCAACTCGGAGATGGAAGCAGCCATGGTGAAACTGCAGTCACAGGTTTGTGTGCTTGGACAGGCATCCAAGCCCCTTGGGTGGATGGTGGTGGGTACCATCGCGTGCGGGTTGGTGACCCTGCCATGCTCCTTGCTCTGCAGATCTCCAGCATGGAGAAGAACCTGAAGAACATTGAGGAGGAAAACAAAATCATAGAGGAGCAAAATGAAGCCCTGTTCCTGGAGCTCTCAGGGTTGAGCCAGGCTCTAATCCAAAGTCTTGCCAATATCCGCCTTCCGCACATGGTAAGAAACATTGACAGTGCTCACCCCAGCCGGCCCTGATGGAGGGAGCTGTGCCAAACTCAATCCACAATAAGGTTTATATACAATTAAAGAGTGGAAGAATTTCTCTGCACACACCTACGTGTCCTTTATAAGATCAGTACTTTTGCCTTATCTCTGAAGCTTGCATTATATCTCCCTTTTGTTGTCATTTTCTGCTGATCTGCCTTTGTATCTATTGTTCTGTCTCATTACATCTGGGAGTGTTATCGCAAAATAGGAAACTTTATCAAGGGCACCCAGCGCCTTTTAGGCTAAGACAGCACAAGCAGAGATCAGGAGGGATTGGATTTCAACGTCAGAAAGATCTTAGAGCTCCTATTATAATGCAGGTAGTTTCAATTCGGTTTTGAATAGCTGGCAGCCAAAGAATAGCATTCTTAAAGAGAGTGTATTTTGTTTAATTTAACAAGGTCTAACAGCCCACAGCATGTTACCATAGAGTTACTGCAAAATGAAAAGCCTGCATTAAAATAGTAAAACCACAAAAGGCTATTAATTACCTTCTCTCTATTCCCAGGAATGTAATTACTGTTGTCAAAGCCAGGTGTGTGGAGGGGGGGGCTCGTGTTGTTGGGAGAAGCTGTCCTCTTACAACTCATGAAGACCATGGCAATGATGAGAGGAATGAGCTTTTGATTTACTTTTTTTTTTTCTGCCATCTTTTCTCCTTTTTGGGAATCCTTTTCATTGGGGTTTGTATTTAAATCCAGGCTGGTTGGAGAGAAGCCATCCTCCAGCAGAGCAGTTTTGGATGGTATTCACCCAGCTGCCGAACTGGCAGAAAACCGCTCGCTGAGAGCTTTTTTTTCTGTCAAGTGTTTGACACATAAAGGTCAAATAAACTGTTCAGCAAATATTTTTTCAAGGTTTCAGGCAACTCCAATTAAAGAATGCCCACGAGACTGATATGCTCATTTTATTCCTGTTCTTTTTCCTTCTCCCTTTCTTTTCTCCCCATTAACTCTGAGTGAGATTTGCAAGGTTACTACGATGCCCCTCAAAAGCAAAAGCTGCACAGCAGCAATGAGCCCAAGGTGACCAGGCTTCTGTCCTAACTTTGCCTTTGATTCCCTTCGTGATGTTTCAGCAGTCCCCTTGTCCTCCAGCCCTTCCTTCCCATGGCTTAATTCAGCCTCAAGCCTGTCAATCTACCGGCACACGCTTAACCCGATGCTGTTAATAGCTCCATGAGGCCAATGCACAAAATTAAGGACCCAGTTAAGATCTGTGTCGTGGTTTAAGCTGAACCCAGGACAATCTGGCAGGATCAGGGGTTGCATGATGAGATTCCCATACCAACAGCACCGCACACAAAAAGGCTCTGATGTGGAGACCTTTGGCTGTTGGTACATATATAGATGATGAGGTGAGATTTAGATTAGATACTAGGAAGAGTTCTTCCCTGTGAGGGTGCTGAGGCGCTGGCACAGGGGGCCCAGAGAAGCTGTGGCTGCCCCATCCCTGGCAGTGTTCAAGGCCAGGTTGGACACAGGGGCTTGGAGCAACCTGCTCTAGTGGAAGGTGTCCCTGCCCGTGGCAGGGGGTTGGGACTGGATGAGCTTTAAGGTGCCTTCCAACCCAAGCTAATTCTAGGTTTAATTGCAAAGAAACATTTCAGTCTCTTCCTGCTCTACTTCTAATGCTTTTATTTGGCTTTTTTGGTTGCAGGAGCCAATTAGTGAGCAGAACTTCGATGCGTATGTGAACACGCTGACCGACATGTACACCAACCAGGAGTGCTACCAGAACCCAGAGAACAAGGACCTGCTGGAGACCATCAAGCAAGCCGTCAAGGGCATCCAGGTTTAGTGGCACGGGGTGGAGATGAGCAAGCGACCAGACTGTAAGATGGAACTTTCCCTCCAAATATTCAGGTTTACAAGTTAGAAAACTTGTTTAATGAATGAAAAAAGAAAAAAAGAAAAAAAAAAGGACCAAAATGTAACCAAGAGGCCATTTCTGAGACGTGGAACTGATCGAGCTCAATGTTTTCGTTTACTTAACTTTGGACCTTCCTGAGAAAAGTGGGATTTTTTTCTCTACCTGGACCACGAGGTAGATCAGGATGGAAGGTTGAATTCTCCAGTAGGCTGTGGGGCTTGGTAGCTGGTGAAGAACAGGCATCTTTCCTGAGTTGCCATGCTCTTGCAGAGTTGATCCAAGGGTTAAAACGTTACAAGAACAGGGTCTTGTCTGATCCAAGACTAGCATCTGACTGGCTTAAACCCTCATGTTGTCTATGGTCCTAGGTCCAGATCACCTACTCACACATGAATTACGTTGTGTGTTGCTACAAGTGCTGGAGCTGCAAGCTACCTGTAAATCTGAACCTGTGCTGGGCCTCCCAACCCCAAAGTGTTCAGATCTCCACTGGGCATGGGAACTCTTTAAGTATTATAAAGTAGCTTATTTTTATTTTCTGAAAGAAATCTGAAGAGCAGTTCTGGATCTCCAGTGGAAAGCGCAATGGAAAAAAGGTTCTCAGGGAAGCTTTTGGAGTTTGCAACTACAGTATTCCTTTGTCTGTCTTAAATACGAGAATAGCTATTATGAATAGGCCAATACCAGATATTTCATACGGAAGAATTCTTTAATGTGTCATGGTCCGGTGTATTTGATTTTTTGGAAGTCTGTTTGATGACAGTTCTGGTTCTTTTCATTATTGTGATCACCCTTGCAGTGGCGCAGTACTGCCAGTCCAGAGATCATACATCAAATGCCAGAGAAACGGCTGAGATTGTGATGAACAGCAAAAAATCAAGAAACAAAAACCAACAAGAAGAGAGATGTCAATTGACGCCCAGCAAAGTGCTTACTACCACCAATCAGTAGTTGATTTCCTACAGGTATCAACAAGGCAATGGGTATTCTGGGGTTTGGTGTTCTATGCTTGTGCAAATCACAGCACGAGCGCTGTAAAAAGGGAGGGAAAAAGAGTATTCAGGTATAGGGTATTCTTCCAAAGAAGCATTCTGTAAGCAGCTCGGTCCATGCAGCCCACTGTGCACTTAAAGAACAACTCGATGAATGTCTTTGCGACGCTGCTCTGCAGCACCCCGCGTGCTCTCCCCACATTCATTCCCATCTGGAGCCCGCTATTCCCCTCCTGCAAAGGCTTTGAAAACAGAAAGGGGAAAAGCCCCCCGAGGGGTCCCAGCATGGGGGCGCATCCTACATCCCACATCCCTCCCGGCAGCGGGGCGGGCAGAGCTGGGGTGGGTTTTGCTGAGCCCTCCTAAAGGTAAGACTGTGGTGTCATTTTGAGCCCAATCCTGCAGATATTTAGGTTTTAGGGTGATTTGGAGTTGGTAGAAAGCTCCTCAGTGACTGCAGCAGCCACTGGGTCCGGCCTTGGAGCTCATGAGTGACTCAACTGATGTTGGTTCCCCTGTTGAGCTCAGCAGGGCAGCTGGGGTGGGTGGCTTTGCTCATGTCCTTAGGTGTTTGCAGGATCAGACTCCATGAGTTCGCTTATTTTAGAACCCATTCCAAGTGCAAAAATACAAAAGAAAGGGGAAAATAAATAATAATAATTTGAGGTGTTAAAAACACAATGTTCTTAACATGTAAATAGAGTCCAAATTGATTGTGACTGCAATTCAGTTAGTATTTAAAAGTAGAGAAATTGCACTTCCTGGAAGAAAGAGAGGGGAAAAACCCATAAGTAGTTAGTTTAATTATCCTGTAAATTATTTAATTTTTGGCAAGATGTATGTAATTTATATTTACAACACCTTTCTGTTAACTTTTTTTGCTATTTATTTAACTTTTTTATTTATTAATTTTCTACTGATTTGAAAACTGGACACTGCACCATAGGGAAAAATAAAAAAGCAAAAAAATAATAAAACCTTAAAATTTAAAACTTTTGACCTAAAAAAAAAAAAAGGATATTCCAAATAAAAAAAAAAAGGAAAAAAAATAAAAAAAAAGAACCCCTATCTCCAACTCCTACTTGTAATTTTGATGCAACCGAGTTATTTTTTATATATTTTGTTATTTATTCTTTTAAGGACGGGAATTTTTTTAAAGATATTTTATAACTGAGACCTTTTGATAAGTTTTTGGTTTGTTTTTTTGCGGGGGCACTCGGCGGGGGGTGGGTGGTGGTGGGGGAAAAAGAGAGACCTTTTCAGTTTGAGCTTTCTTTTTCATTCCTATTGTTTCAGGCACTGATAACAGGAGATGAGAATTGTGTATTTATTATTTATTTAATATTTAAGTCGGGGAGGGGGGGGAGAAAAAAGCATTGACCTGTGCTCTTGTTGTATATTTATTTTGTCGTTTGTGTGTTGGTTATGTGATGACTGAGTACTTGTTTCTGTGAAGGAATACTGTTCATATTTAAATAATAAAGAGTCACATTGAAAGTTATAGCAGGCTACATGTTATTCTGTGAAAACGAATACTGTGATCTACTTTCCTCAGGAAATGTATTTTGCAGACAGAACTTCCTTATGTACTGGCAGGGTTATTTCGTAATAAAACCCAGTTCTGTTTGTGACTTTAGTTCCTATGGTCTTTCTTCGAGCTGTTGCCAATGTCCCCAGTGTGTCCCCAACAGGTTTCATCCTTGCTCCTGCACCATGACTTAGAGGGTTGGTGTGTTTCCCCACCTTAGAGATGCAGATGGGGACTGCCCACTGCAAACCTGGCTCTGCCCAACCACTAAATTGGGGGATTAAAGGGGAATTTAGGTTTGGTGTCTCTGAAGGTTTTGAAGAATAAGGAGTTGTCACCATCTGGCCAAGCGGGCACCTAAAATCCCACCAGTCCCATGATGGGGAGAATCAAAAGTGCAAGCAAAGGTATGTATTTATGTAGTCATACAATCATTTAGGTTGGAAAGACCTTTAATTAAGATCATCAAATCCACCACTAAACCGTGTCCCCAGGCACCACATCTACTTGTCTTTTAAATCCCTCCAGGGACAGTGACTCCACCACTGCCCTGGGCAGCCTATTCCAATGCTTGACAACTCTTTTGGGGAAGAAATTTTCCCTACTATCCAGTCTAAACCTCCCCTGGAGCAACTCGAGGACGTTTCCTCTTGTCCTATTACTTGCTACTTGGCAGAAGACATTGACATTCACCTTGACCTTGCTACAACCCCCTTTCAGGTAGTTGTAGAGAGGGATAAGGTCTCCCCTGAGCCTCCTTTTCTGCAGGGTGAACACCCCCAGCTCCCTTGATTGCTCCTCACAAGACTTGTGTTCCAGAAGGTTGCTGGAGCCTCTTTCCCAAGGTAGGAGGGCAGCAGGAAGCACTCTGCACCCCCAGCACTCAGCATCCCTGGGATTTCGTATCATCCTTCTCCCACCAAGTGTGCAAACAGAGGAGATGCCATCTGGGATGGGATGCAGAGACACAGGCTTTCCCCTCCTGGATATACAAAAAAGCCTCACCAAATTTCTCTCTAAGGTTTAGTTAAAATGCTGGGAAATGGCTTGGTTTGTTCAACAGGATTTCTTCACTTTTATCTGCCTGACTTTGCTGTTCACAGGTCACCTTCCTGGAAGAATGGAGCCTTTTCATTGGAAAGAGTTCATGTCTGGAAGCTGTAACAATGAAGAGAATTTCTCTCCGGTCTCTGCGTTGGAGATGTCAGTACTGAAGTTGCCGAAATTGCTGTGCTGCAGCTGTAGCTTCCAAGGTGAAATAAGGTAAATTGTATTAAGGCCATTCAGAGCTGAGTGAGTTGGGTCAAGTGGGAATTTCAGGCAGGTTCATTGCCAAGATATTCAATTCTCTGATTAACTAAGCTGAACTTTCCTGACTGTCCCCACGCAGAGGCACATACGCTGCTGGGTTACAGCAGGAGGTGATGGTCACAAATACACACAGGCGAAAGGCAGGGTAAGATAGGGCCGAAAGGGTAAAAACAAGCCAGAAAATTCTAAAGCAAAGTTTGGGGTAGAAAGAAGATTTCTTAAAGCCTTTGCTCAAGCTTGTACGTGGCCATGGGTGTTCATTGGAAGATCTTTCTGTCTTCATCGGATGTCTGCAAGCTGCCCTGGGGCAGGACAACTGGCAGAGGCTTAGGACAGGCTTGCGGGGATGGTGGAGGACAGGTTCCCCGGGTTCTTCCATCGGCATCTGGCTTTCCTCCCTCTGAGTGGTCAGATTTAGGACCTGCTCTGCTCCTCAAGCCATGTGGTCCCAAGTGCCTGAGCAGAAACACTCTTGGGAGCAAGGACTGAGAGTTGATGGGGTTTTGTCCTTTCCACAAAAGGCTGCGCAGCTTTAAAGGAGAAAACCCCATTGACTCACCTAAGCTGGTTGGCCATGTTGTGTTTCTGAAGGACACATAATTGGTTTAGGGAGGGTTCACTAGACTTTGCACCACCGAGCAGTTCCTTGTGCCAATATTTGATGATGATGATAGAGCTAATAGACATGCTTGCTTGTCCTTTCTTAATGAATTGCTGTGCTGTATAATACAGCAGTTAGATTTGTATTAAACTGCAGCTTTGGGAGCCATCTCTGTGAGATGTTACCTTCTCTGAACTGGCATCCTTTATCGCAGGGAACGGAATTGAATTGGTTTAAGAAGGTACACTGTCAGTTTATGGGTGTGCTTAGGAGAGCTGTAAAGCCTTCTCCACCATGTGTAGGGTGAGAGCTCGGAGCAGAGGGGAGAGCATGTCTTTTGCTTCAAGGATGGAAGAAGAAAGGTACTTTGTCAACATATGGTTGTTTCTAAATATGCTGATAAACTATTGACCAATAAGAGCATCATCTGGCCTCACTGATGCCATTGTTGATTGTTAAAAGCTGCTAATAACCTATCCCTGCAGTGTTATGTTCAAGTGGTACCTTTCTCTTGTCAGCATTTACCCAGCCTCTGCCTGACAGCTCCAGGTTCTTGCAATGGATTTTGGGTGTGTGCAGAAAGGGGTTTCTTTCCCAGT